TCTTCGGGTCGCTGGCCCCAGCGGAGGGGCTCTTGGATTGAAGTCCGAGCGGTTTAGGGTTTATGGTTTAGGGCTTTGGGTTTAGGGCTTCGGGTTTAGGGTTTAGGGTTTAGGGTTTAGGGTTTTTCCTGCAGATATTATTGAAGTTTGGGTTTAGGGTTCAGGGTTAGGCAATGCTTCAGATTAGGATTGGGGGTTGGGCTTTAGGGTTTAGGGGCCCGAGGCCTAAGATCGAGCTATGGGCATCGAGGATCCGAACCCGAAGTGAAGCTTAGATGCACGAATGCTACAGCGGGAGCTCCATGGAACGGAATGGTGGCACCGTCCAACCTCCCCGTAGAAACCAGATGCCCTCCCAATGGCCCCAAAAACCCTCAGCACTTCAAGAGGGTTTAGGGATAGCTAGGGGTTAGGGTTTAGGGTAGTGTTGCTCCTCGCAGTGCTGGCGGCCGACGGACCTTCTGACTCTTCCCTTTCAGAGGCTTGCATTTGAGAGGACCTCTTGGTGCTCTTCGCGAAGAAGGCTTGCACGTGATCACCCGCGAGTAGAGGCCGGCGGAGGGCGCAGAGAGGCACCATAGTTCGCCGCTGCTTCCGGACACCCACCTCAGCTGCTTTCACGACTCCAAGGGTTTTCAGTTGAGGTCCTCTACAGGGATGAACCTCGATTTGAGGAATCGGGATGCGTAGCTCCAAGATGCCAGGTTTCCGAGGGACATGAGTGTGAGAATGTCCGAAGAAACAAGGAGTCAGAGAGAACAAAAGGCTCCTCAGCATGCTTACAAGCAAGATGGCTAGGTTCGAAGTTGCGTGGTTGCAGGATTTGAGGCGTAACGGCAAGGACGAGCAAACATGTACATGGTATACTCGCACACTTGTCAACTTTGCACAGCTTGCTTCACACATGTACTGCACCATTGTGTACAGAAAGCTTCTTCCGTTTTGAGTTTAGGGTTGCTAATCCTAAACCCTTAATACTCGTCACAAAAAGCAAGGCGATGCATCAGGGCACCAACTGACGGTCCTTTTGGAAGACCATGCCGTCGACTCCCCGCAGTTTGAGGACGATCCCAAAGTGCAAGCAACTGTTCAACTAAACCCATGAGACCCAAGCCCCAAGCCCTAAACCCTAAACCTTAAAGCCTAAATCCTAAGCCC